AGCCAGACAGCAGAGCACACCTGCACATGCCTGCAGGAGCTGCCTGCAGGGGCATGTGCACAGTGGGGGCAAATTGAAAATCCCATAACAGACAGACAAGAACAATAACTTAATAGAAAGATTGTCTAATAAGCACGGCTCATTAATTATAATAGATTATAGGACAGAGATGCATAGTATAGCAAGGGACTAAACTCAATGACCCAACAGCTCCCTTTGGGCATGTCTACACTGCACTGTCGACAGAACTCAGCAGTTTTGTCGACGCTGGTAAACCTCATTTTACGAGGCATAACACCTTCTGTCGACAGAGTTCTGTCGACAGAAGGTGTTATTGCCTGTAGGGTTGGGTCTAGACTACAGGGTTCTGTCGACAAAGCAGCTTACTTTGTCGACAGAACTCAATGTGTCTGGACGCTCTTTGTCGACAGAAGTTTTGTCGACAGATACTGTCGACAAAACTTCTGTCGACAAAACGCGGAAGTCTAGATGTACCCTTAGTGGCACAGAAAGTGGTTCAGTGACACTCCGCACCCCTACTATGCAAAAATGTTCTAGTTACCTCTGCCTGTATTTCCCAACATAGTTCAGTGATTCTTGGCCTTTGGCAGTGACTCAGCAAATGGCTGAAATATCATATTGTGATTAGCACTGTTCAAAAAATTTGAAGGAAAAAGCTTTTCCACCAAAAATTACTTCCCAAACTACAAGCATTCTTTTATGTGAAAATTGGACGTTTGAAACTTTGTTGAAACCAGAGAAAATTCTTTCTTTCACTAGCCCCCAGATCAGGGGGAAAAGAGGTTTGAGGTAGAAAAACTCAAAAAATGGGGAGAGGAAACAAGAATAAAATTTTTCAACTTTTTTTTTAAATCCATGGAAAATGTTGCCTAATTCCACATCCCCTTGAGTCTGTGGAACTAAGTTTTGTGCTGGCAGGATGGGGGTGTGGTGTGGTGGGAGCACTGAGAAGCTGACCTCAGTTGGATGGTAGTGAGAGGGAGCAGAGCAAATGAGAAGGAACAACAAGTGGAAGGGGTTAGGAGCATGCTTCTTACCTTACCAGGGTCCTGGCAACTAGAGATGTGAATGGGTAACCTGTTATCCGGAAAGTATCACTCTTACTGGGTAACAGTTAACCAGCACCAAGGAACCAGCCCCCTGCCCACCATAGGTGGAGGGCTGTTCCAACTCACCTGGCACACCATGCCACAGGCTGTGGCCGGAGCCAGGAGCCTTGTGCAAGGCCAGGGGAGTCAGTGACAGTCTCATGTCGGGCTGCCAGATCTAAGAGGGTCAGCAGCAGCCCCGTACAGAGGAGGAAGTGCTGACAGGGCCGGCAGCAGTCCCGTGAAGGTGTGTTGGTGGGGGGCAGCAGCAGCCCCACATTTTGGGGGCTGCTTCAGATGAGTTGCAGCCCCCTCCCCCCACTCCTATCCTGCTTAATTGGTTAACCAGTTAATTGATTACATGGAATTTTACATTCCTACTAGCAACCCAGAGGTTTTGCTATGTTCTCATTCAGTGTGATCCACTGGTCGCTCCCTAGTGATCATTCTTGTCCATGCCCTCCAGTCTACCCTGTTAATTAACACATCATAGGGTTATTTGGATTGTCTTTGATGCCTAAGCTGATAGTGAGTAGAAATGTGAACGTTAATTTAATACACCTAAACTGCAAAATAACCAATACGTTTTCATTGCTCAGTGGCCTCAGCAGCGCCATCATGCGAAGTGCCCAGCTCAGCAATGAGTGGAACGGTCGTAGAAATGAGATGTAAAGAAAATGAAGGGTCTCCTGCTTCTGAATACAGATGGTATAGGAACGGTGTTCCTTTGGTGGAAAACACTGGAACTGGCAGTACTAAAAAAGGAAACATTTCTTACACCATGAATAAAAAGACTGGAACACTGGTAAGATCATCTGGTCCAACTTTCTTTTTGAGTTTTGTGTCTGAAAGAAGACTGAATATTATTATTCATGTTCCATTATGGCCAAGAATCAGAGCCTCATTGTGCTAGCCATTGTGCAGATGAGAAACAAAGTCCTGCCCAGAGAGCTCTTAATACAGGATACATCAGGTGGATGAAGTACCCAAAGGGGTTGGAGTGTATTGAAAGAATGAGATTGTAATAATTTAGCAATTTTTCAAATAAACATAAGTTATAGCTTGCCACATGCATAGCCAATGCCAGATCAGGCATCACAGTGCAGTTAAGGTTTTTAAGGAAGGATTTAAAAGAGAATAAACTGGGCATCTTTAACTTCTATGGAGAGTTATTCCCAGGCACAGAGAGCAACACAGGAGAAGCAGATGTTTAGGAAATGTAAAAGTAACTTTCCAGCTGTACTTAGGAAGGCCCAATCCTGCACCAGTAAAGACTGGGAGCAAGAGACAAGCCCCAAATCAGCCTGAGTAACTCTTTCAGAACTATGCACGTCTTTTTGAAGAGGCTTCCTTGGATACTTTTCAATTTTTAATAATAAATTTTATTTCAAGACCTTCTAAAGTGACTAGAAAATCGGAGTTACTCACTTTTATGGATGATCAAAGTCAAATACCTTAGAGGAGTCTGATTTTTTTCAGAAGATGAGTGATCAGCATATTCTGAAAATCCTGCCCCTTTAAATATGTCAAACTGAGTATTCAAAATCACTAATCACATCTAAAAATCTTGGCCTTGATGCATAGTTGTGGCACTCAGGGAGTGAGCCTAATTTCACAGCCCATTGAAGTCAATGAAAAAACATCCACTGAGTTGGATGAGGTTTGTAAAGTACTTACTTCTCCATTCCTTGTTGTTAATGTGAAATAGTCATCTGTTTCAACATACTTCATTTTATTTAAAAAAAAATCATAGTTTAAAAAACTGAATGGTCTAAATCAGTGTTTCTCAACCTTTTTTTATAAAGTACCCCTTTAAAAAAAAAGTACCCCCCAGTAGCTACAGTTTTCAGACACGCACACTTTTTTTCCTACTATTGCAGCACATTTGTTTAAACAACTTAATCGTAGCCAGGTGGGTGATGAAATGTTTGGGTGTAAAAAGTAAAAAAATAATAAAGCGCTGTAAAACTTAAAACAAAAATTCAGTTTTCTCCAAATTTCAGTTGTGTTGACGTACCCGCCAGACATCTTTTGAGTACCCCTAAGGGTACTCGTACCACTGGTTGAGAAACACTGGTCTAAATGGTAGCAGTGTAGCAATCTTCTTTTCCCTACCTCCTAACTGTAAATCACATTGTGATAGTAATTTGATAACTAGAGCTGGATGAGAATTTTCCCTTTGAATGAGTTTCCAACAGAAATGGAGTTTCCACAAAATTGAAAATTTCAATAGGGAAATTTTGAATTTGCTGAAAAAAAGCAATTTTCATCAAGCAAATCAAAATAAAATATTTCATCTTGGGTCAAATTCAGTGAAACGAAATTAAATAATTAAATTTCAGGAAAGTTTTTGATTAAAAACATGTTGAAACAAAATGTTTCTGAATCAATTTTTTTTAATTTGTTTTATTTAAAAAATCAACTTTCCATCCCTACATTTGACAAAAAACGAAAAATGTCAATTTCCATAGCATGGAGGTTCTGAATTTCACTCAGCTTTATTGATGACTTTTTTAAATGTAACAGCTATTTAACACAGTTTCAAAGAAAGACACTGGAGAGTATTACTGTGAAGCCTCCAATGGAATTGGACTTCCTCAAAAATGCTCTGCAAAGCAAATGCAAGTTGGTAAGTGTCAAAAGCAAATAAGCCAGAAAACCTATAGATGAAATGACTTTTTTACATGGCACATATGAGAAACTAAGACTGGGTACAAATTATGCTGTCTTCTTCCTCCTCCAGAAAGCTTGAATCAAATGCATGATGCTTTATGTAGACATATGACTGCTTAAATCACTCACTCCTCTTCTAAAAAGAAGCAGTAGACATACTGTATCTTACAAAAGGTCAGCTAGCTCAGAGTGCTTTGGAATGATTAAAGTGCGGAACTTTCAGAAGATTATTATGCATTAAATGCTACAGAATAATAGTATACACTTAATTAAGATATTAATATTTTAGAATGTTTTTGGTGTCTCTAAAGCATCATGTATAAGTCTTGTTTTGCAGATATTTTCCTTGGGACATTTTCATATGAGACTTTAATGCAGCAAGTCAGAAAACTATTTCTGATCTTCATTTTATCTGGAAAAACAGTAATAAATGTGACATTTATATTTGGTTATTAAAGGGACACTGTTAAGGTTGATAGCCTAACATTTGTTTTGCTCTCCACTCCTTACCTGTTTGCAACATCCGTGTAACTTGTTAGAAATAGAATTTGTTGTGTAAGCAAAGTCTATCCATGCTTTTTTCTTTTAAAGAAAAAAATGTAAATTCAGCTGACTCTCGAGTAGCTTTGCAAAATCCCACAACACTGCATGCACAAATGATCGAGGGAAGTTAGTAAGGAAATATATCAAGCTTCTAAAAGGTTTACGTCAGAAGTGAAGGGGAAAATTCTTCTAATGGTTGGAGTCTACAAAATGCTGTGGCAGTGACCTTTTAAAAAGTGCTCTATATCACTCTCTTGTGACCTGATTCGAAGCCTGCTGAAATCAGTAGAAAGACTTCTAATGCATTGATATTCTATTTGAATAATGACATACTATCAAGGCAGAATTTCTCTACTGGGGAAACATTAATTCATGTGAGAAATTGGTATCTCTTGACATATATAATGATATTTTGGGGGCCAACATTTTCAAATCTGTGTGCTTGTAATTAGACAATCAAATATATATTTGGGCATCTAAGTAGAAATGGCCTGATTTGTCTTTCCCCTCACTCCTCAGGCTATATCCACACTCCAGGCGTCCTGCACAAGAAATTTTCTGCGGAAGAGATCTTCCACAAAACCTTCTTGCTCAAGAGCGTGTCCACGCTGCAAAAGCGCATCGAAAAAGCGATGTGCTTTTGCACAAGAGAGCATCCAGACTGCATGGGCTCTCTCTCAAAAGGAAACTGATTGCTATTTATAAAATGGCCACCAGAGCACCTGTGCTTTTTTCTGTTTGCCTCTTTTTGCGCAAAAAAACCCTGTTCCCCATCCACACACACCTTTTTGCGCAAGAACTCTTGCACAAAAAGAGTTATTCCTCGTAGGAGGAGGAATACCTACACTGAAAAAAACCCTCTGTTCTTTTGTTTTACTTATGCAAAAACGTGCTTGAGGTGTGGACGCTCCATGAGTTTTTCCGGAAAAACGGCTGGTTTTGCTCAGCAGCTCTGTAGTGTAGATCTAGCCTCAAGCTGCACACTTACAGCACTCATTGATTATAATGGAATGGTGATAGCTCAGCAACACTGAAAAATCAGGCCCCTTCTATTTCAGTATTCAAATCTGAATTAAGGAGTCTCATTTTAGGCACCCAGGTTTGAATACATGGTTGAGTTTTTAAAAAGCCTTACTTCCTCTCATGTCAGAAGCCCTCTAGTTTTACATACGATTCAGCAGCATGAAAATTCTTGGTGCCAAAATATCATTGTGTCAACGTTTTCATCAGCTGTTACATTGCTACGATTTTAATCAAACGAACTTAAAACAAATTTTCTAGTACTGCAGTTTCCATTTATAGGGTTCAGGATACCGTCTCCCTTTGACATGCATAATTTGAATCACAGTTGTGGGTTAGGCACTTATATTGCATTCTATAATTATCATTGCCTCTGCACTCTGAAATTACAGTGGAAAACTGTTGAAATGGCCAATATTCATTTTTTTGGTTTTTTTAACACTGGATTTATTTTGTTTTCAATTATAGATGATCTTAATATAAGCGGAATCATAGCTGCTGTAGTAGTTGTGGCTCTGGTAATGGCATTATGTGGCCTTGGGGTATTTTATGCACAAAAAAAAGGTTACTTTTCAAGTAAGTTGAGTTAAATCTTGCCTGCCTTATAGATATAGGAAACTTACTATGACTAAACATTTCTACTCTCTGTAGAGTATACTCTTTGTTGGTGTAGGGTGAGTCTGCACTATTGAAGTATTGCGTCTATAAGGCTATGTCTACACTGCTGGGGGTTTTTTTCAGAAAAAGGTACACAAATTGCGAACCGCAATTTGCATACCTTTTTCCAATTATTTTTTTGAAAGAGGCTTTTCCAACATTTGGCCTGTCTACACGGGGCCAAATGTGGAAAAACCTCCTCTTTCAGAGGAGGAATACAGGGCTTCCGAAAGAACGCACCTGCTTTTTTGGAAACTGATCCGAAAAAGTGGACGTGTTCCCTGGATGCGGCAGAGTTTTTTCCGGGATACCTCTGGTATCCCAGAAAAACTCTGTAGTGTAGACGTAGCCTGAGTGCAGGATTTGGCCCATAGTTATTGGTTCTTCCTATTCATTTTGATCATACTCACTTTCCTTTTTGCAATAGAAAATGAGACAGAAATGGCAAGCTAGTCACAAATCGTTGCTGAAAGGGAATTGAGGCAAATGCAGAGGGCATAAGCAAGCTGCACTGACTTCTTTCTTATGCAAAGTAGGGATGGTAGCAATTAGTCAAGTAGTCAACTTATCCGGTAACCTAGTCACTACTCAACTAGTCACTTCCCCCCACCCCTTGCTGCCTCTATTAGAGGCAACAAGGGGAAGAGCAGGAGCCAGTGCTGGGGAGAGTCAGCTTAAAAGGAGAAGGGCAGGGGAGGAAGAGGCACAGCGGGGGACCCAGCACAAGCCAGCAATCAGCTAATTCCCAGCTTACACACGGTCCCAGACGCTGTGCCTCTGCTTTTTAAATGGGGTAAGAGATGCCCAGCTCTTACTCCATATAAAGGCAGAGCTGGGGTGGGGAGCTAACCCCACTGTGGCTCTGTAGTTCTCCCCTTTTATCAACTAATCGAGTAGTCAATGGAAATTTCATTGACTACTCAATTAGCTGATTAAACGAAATTTTAACATCCCTAATGCAGACTTAAGATAGTTTTGAGATTAATCATTTTCTCTTGTTGACAATTATATTTTCCATGTATGTTCATGATCTGAGTCTGAGAATTTTTGGCTCACCCCGTCATTGACAAGTAACTTGAAGAAAATTAACTCTGAGCTCGGGAGGGAGAGCCCAGGACAAATGACTGCTTGGGTACAAAGTCTAGCTGATGGAAGAAGTTACAAACTTCTTCCCCAAAGTGTATTATAACAGGACTGATAAGGACCATTGTAGCTATGAGAAATGTCAAACACTCCCATCCCTGAAAGACACTAGGTATAAATTTATTTCTGGCCAGAATTCTGCCATATTTATTCATGTGTACTGCCTTGCTACACAAGTGTTCCCATTTATTTAGTAAGGCACCAAAGAACATTAAAAAAGCAACAAAATTACACCTATATCAGTGGTTCTCAAAGTGTCACTGTCTTGAAGATGGACTTGGGGCTCGCTTTCCCTTCCCTTCCACCCCCCCCCACAGCAGGGCACCTGTGCTGGCACTCCTGCCCAACCCCAAAATGTGAGGATGGAGTGCTAGCTGGGGCAGGGGCAGGGAGAGACTTGCAGGCCAGATCCAGCTTCCGGGGGAAGGCAGGACAGGAAACTGCTTGTCAGGAAACTGCTTGTCTGGAGGCTTTCCCTGCTGCTCCCATTGGCCAGAATCACAGCCAATGGGAACAGCGTGGAGTGCCTGGGAGAGGCGGGAGGCACGGAGCCAGGTAAGCACCCCTCTTGTGACCAGACCCCACACCCTTACCCTCACAAACACCCCTCCAGCCAAGACCCCACATCCCCACCACACTCCTGCACCCTCCCTTCTCCCCTCCCAGGACTGCTATCCTGCATCCATTTTGTCATCATGGGTGGTTGGCTGGTGATCCGCATAAAGGTCTACGTTGAGTGGGGTAGGCCACTGGCCAAAACATTTGAGAACCGCGCACGCGCGCGCGCACACACACACACACACACACGCACCCCCCCCCAAATATGTGTTTGTGCATATGCACATTAAAGGAACTTTATTGGTCATTTGTTTTTTAAAATCTGTCTATTCCCATAAAATGAAACAATTTAAACAGAATCATTTTTAAGTAGTACTTAAACTTGCATCCTTGTTGAAATGGACTTGCTGACTCCATCTGCTGGACCATAATGAAAGTACATGTTAGGATAACTGATGCTTTTATTACATTTCATAACAGTTGGACAACTTCCCCAGGTTATTTACAATAGAGGCCATAGAGTTTAATACAGTGAGCAGGCAGTGATGCAGGGGAATGTCTCATGATGTGTCTGAAAGAGGAGACACAGCTTTTTTGGAGCATGGGGAACTGAAGATTGATTTGAGAGCAGTTTCACCATTTTCAAGATAGGTAGCTGAATGCTTTCAGAAGTAAACTAATAAGGCCAGAGGAAAGAGAGTGTGGGTGGGTTTCCTGCTAGCTTGTCTAGACGGACTGCTGCCAAGGGAATCACTTGTTCATCTTCCAGAGAGAAACATAGGTCAGCTGCTACTGTCAGAAATTAAAAGGATGAGGAAGGACAAGAGCTAAATGTAATCTACAGAAAACATTTCAAAGAATGTGTATTAGCCAGGGAAATTTCCGTATGCTAAATATGTTTTTTTTTCTTTTACTCTTCCAGAAGAAAGCCCTTCTCAGTAAGTATATTACTTTTGGGTAATTTCATTTATACTTCTGATGATACAAAAAATGTGATTTTTTTTTTTTTTTTTTTTTTTTTGTGCTGGGCTTTCCATATCCTCATGATACATACAGGTGTTTTGTGTCTTTAACCTAATTTTTAGGGTGCTATTTTGGTGGTTGGAATTTCTCACTCTGCTTACTAAGCTGCCTACTAAGCCCAAGACACTAGTAATAAATGAACAAACCAATATATGTTAAACAGAGGTAAATTTTCAGATGGTTTGTGCCCCCTTCTCCTTTCGTTATCAATCAACCCCTATTTCAGCCAGATATAAATCTTGCTTGAGCAACTCCCTGGTTGTGAATGCAAAGCAGCTAAGTAGAATTTTATACAAATCTGTGTCTGCAAATCATTTTGAAAATTGGTTGTCAGCCAGGATGAAAGTTTGCACCTCAGTTTTGCCCTAAAAGATGGAAGCGAGTTTGTGCTGTGAAATTAGCAACTGTACATAGAGTACACACAAGCTGATTTTACAAAATAAGCTGAGATACATATTCACATATCAGACGACCACTGAGTCCTTAAAGTGAGGCTGGCATTTATTTTGTCAAGCTAAGCTCAACAGTAACAACTCATGTTCTCAAATGAGGACAATGGCAGGAAAAAGCAAATAACTTACTAAAAGAAGATATCACCAAGTACTTCTTAAAAATATTTTCTGATACTTGTTTTATGATGGTCATGAATATGTTATACATCATCACTAAATGAGCTATAATCAGTTATGCTTCACATCTTGGATCCTTAAAACAAGCAAGGGAATGCTAGTTTGGCAGTGGCTCAGGAAGCAAGTATTTTATTTTCTAGAAGCTCTCCCAAGATATTGCAACGCATAAAAGACAGTAGACATGCCCCTAGTGTAAAATGTTGCTGTGCTTTTGGAGAGGGGGAAATTTTATGAAATAGCTATTTCTATTACACAGTATTTTCACACATTTACTGCAAATGTTCTTGATTACATTTGTGGTCAAGATATTCTCATGAAGTCGTCTGGTGTTAGATAGGAATGCCTTTCAGCGTGCATATAGCAAGACATTGCTTTACCTCTTGAAAAACAGTGAGCCCCACAGATTCTTCCTTTTGTGTATTGTTTCTGGTCTTTAACAAGACACGAACTAGGATGAAACTAGGTTGATGTCTAAAGTGGGCAAATTTCTATATAAATAAGAACTAAAAATACAAGCAGGAAAAAATGAAAGTTAATCTGCCTTCTTTTTTATTGCACTAACAGGAAGAAGAGTTCTGACTATAAATATACCCCAAGTGAAAAGGTGAGTATATCCAGCACTCAGCTAGGGTATTTGTGGGAATTGTTCATCATGAACCAATTAAGCTCCCATTTCCTGTGACTGTCCCAATTCATTGGCCCTGAAATGAGTAAGTTTCCTATATTTTGAAGGAACAAGATTAGTCTTGACTCTTTTCAGCTGAAGAACTGTTCAGGGTTTTGCTTCTAAAAAAACACTTGCCTTAAGTGAGGGAAAGTTACAGGTTTAATGAAACACATGGTCAAGTCTAATGTCAGAAATTACAAAATCATCATTTGACCAACGATTCCTTGTTTTCGATCTAGGGGGAAAAAAATTGACTTCCAAATTGCAAGTCTGAGATCTATGAGCACACTCTATCCCTCTTGCTGCAAGGAGGTAAAGGGAAAGGACCACTTGGGGCCTTTTCTTTCTTCTCGCCCCCACTTAACCAAAGAAGGTCAATTGGAAGAGCGCAGGAGCAGGGTGGAGGTGTGGAGTCTGGATGGGAGGAGGGATGCAAAAGTGGGGTGGAAGGTGGGGATTTGTTCTGAGCAGGAGGAAGGGAGAGGGTACAGGAGAGTGGATTGGGGTGCCTACCTGGTGCAGCTTCTGGAGGCGGGGGGGAGTGGCGGTGCAGATGACTCTGTACTGCCTTGTGTTTGCAGGCATTGCCCCCGTCGCTGCCATTGGCATGGAGCAGCAAGTGCATGCAAGGGACAAAGCTTCCCTGAACTGCCATGCCTCAGTGGGGGTAGTGGGGAACAGCAGTATGCAAAGCCGCTTCCTCTTCCCTGCCAGGCAGAGCTTGTGAATCAAATACAGTCTGTGGCTTGCTTTGATCCAGTCTGCAATGCTCACTCCCTTCCCAATACCGGTCACAGGCCAGATCAAGGCAAGCTGGAGCTGCGGGTTCCCCACCCCGGCCTAGCAGGTGGCAGTCCGTATTGGTTATACCTGGCCACCATAAGTGCTGTACAAAAACTATCCTCTGTCCCTAAGTCTGAACTCCAAGGTAATTAAGCACTGGGGCTTTTTGGTTTTATGTTTTATTTTTGTTTAATTTCCTCCTGTTTTGGTGATGAAAATTTCTTGGTTTGCCTCCATCTTCACTGAAATATTGGTAAATTCTAGTTGGGGTGCATTCGTCAGCTACAGTATAATGGCACAGCAGCAGCTATAACTGGAGTATTCAAAAGGAAAGAAATATTGACAGGAGTTTTACGTTTTTCCCCCTTGATATTTAATTTCTTCCAGTTGGATACCTTTTGAACTGTAGTAGGCATATCATGTACAAATGGGTTTTGTGGGCTTCAATCCTTAAAAGGGAATTGGAATGGTATGGTCACTGATAAGCCAGACTTCACACTTCAGGTCTAATATTCTGTTGCAATGGGAAGGGGTTGATTTGATGTCATTACTAACACTTCATAGCATTTTTTGTTACTGTTTGTTTGGCATTTGCTCCCTCTCTAACAACCTGGAGATGTGAGTTAAGTTCTACAGGATGGACCTCCCTGGTCCAGCACCCTGGGGACCTGACCAGTCCCAAATGAGAGAATTTGCCAGACCAGATATCACCGGCCTCAAGCCCCATCACCTGCCAATGGCAGACTGCTCCAGCAAGCACACCGCCTCTCCTGCATCTCCCCCTCGAACCTGGCTAAGCTACTTGCCCAGATGCTGCCAGCTCCCTGGGCAGCACAGGTTCTAGCTCCTGCCACAAGGATCCAGCATCGGGGGGTAGCCTTGGGGCTCTGGCCCCACACTCTAGCGGGCTGTTGCAGGGCTCTGGCCTCAGACTGCCATGGTAGCCTGGCCCCACACTCCTGGAGGGGTGGGGGTGTGCCAAGAAAATCCAGACCAGCATCAACCCGTGCTGCCAGGGCACTCTAGCCTGGCCCTGTGCTGCTGTAGGCTGCTGCAAGACTCGGGCCGGGTCCTGTGCTGCCCCCACCTTGGCTGCCAACCCTGTTGTCCCAGCCCAGCTGTCCCTCCTTCCCTTAGGCTCCCAGGCTCCCGATGTTAAGGACTAGTCGACTATCTGATAAGGAAATGCTTATCAGATAGTTGAGTCGACTAGTCGCTTCCCTTCCCCCCTCCCCTTTGCCCCTCTTGCTGCCTCTGTCAGATAAAGGCAGCAAAGCAGTAGGGAGAAAGAGTACTTCAAAGTGGCAGCACCATGTGGAGCCCAGGGACAGCTGGGGACTTCTTACCTGATCCTGGGTTCCATGTGACATTTCTACAGAACCTAGACTCAGCTGGGGAGTTCCCAGCTGATCCCAGGTTCTGTGGAAATGCTCCCCAGCTGACCCTGGCTCCGTGCAGCATTCCAGAGCTGGCACACTGCGTGCAGACTGGGACCAGCGGAAAGTCCCGCTGACTCTGGGCTCATGCGGGAGCTTCCGCTTTGAAATGCACAAGAGCCCCTGCTGGGGCCTCCTGTACATTTCAAAGGAGGAATTTGGAAGTGCCTATCACTAGTCAAATTAATCAATATTTAATTAACCTTAGTCCAGGAGCATTTCTGGTCCTGCCTGACAGGGGATGTTGACGGACCAAAGAATGCTGGTTTTTGTAGGTACAACCTGTACTGATGTTTAAGTGCAATGGATGTAACGTAGCACATTTGGCTGAAAGTATTAAAATAATTGATCACCTTTCTCTTCTTTTAGGATTTCAGGCACACCAAGTCCTTTGTTATTTAGAAGATTTCTGACTCTGAGGGATACAAAATGACTACTTGTTATACGCAGTATCAAAGGGATTTTTCTAACTCTTCTGCAAATACTTGGATTTGTTTTGAGATGGTATATACTCATGCAGAACATCTATTGGAAGGCCTAGGATCTAATGCTACAAACCTAATCATGTACTGTATAACTGTGTTCATATTGTTAATACCATTATTTCTCTAATTTAAGGATAATAGTAAATAGATAATATAAATCATTTGAATGAAGGTTTCTTATCCTGTTTGTCAGTACACAGCAAGGGGATTCATTACTAAGCAAATTCATGCTTATGATCTTTACAGATTAGGGTTAAAAAATTTTAGCCACTGTAATCTGATACTTTGTAGTGTCTACATCTAAAAGATAATGGCTAACTTTTTGCCATTTTTCAATTTTATTAGTGCCATGATTTTTCTAGAGACCTTGCAGTCAAGTGAACAATTTCTCTGATACAGGACAGGTATAAATTTATCTTAAATGTGGCTCACTCTCTTATTACTCCTGGGGTGATTCTGCATCTCTGTGGGGATATGTAATTCATATGTCCTGCATTTTTTGTTCTCCCTCTTCCCTTCCTAGTGCAGAAAGATGGGGGAGAAAATCTGCAGGGGCCATAACCTTCTTTCTAGACAGTTCAGGCAGCACATCATGCTGGAGCAGCCTCAGAGTCAGACTTTTAGTAAGAAGTCAATTAAGAACAATCAGAACCAAGCACTTCCCAAAATACTTAAGTCAGTCCATGACAATGATTAGCAAAACTGACTTTCATGTGTGAGTCTGAGATTTAAAATGTCATTCTTTTTATTTTTGCTGTTTTGTAATGTAATTTAAATGAAAATCTACTATTATAACTGGAATGTAGGATATTAGTTACACATGAAACTTAAGAACAGCTGAATAGTGACTTTTATACTTTAACTTACCAAAACAATTGAAACTGGTGTGATTATGTTTTGACAAATTATGTAGAATTTTGCAATTTTTGGTGCAGAATCCCATCAGGAATATATAATAGAGAACTTTCCAACAGTGTTATGCTGTAGAGGTCATTGCTTTTCAACCTTTTGTCAATCCCTAAAAAAAAAAAATTAAATGGAGGTGCAGATTTTTTTCTAAATCTTAAACCTAGTTTGTGGACCGACCTCAGGTTGAAAACCACTGGAGATCAAATGTAATGCTGAAGTGTGTTGCTTTTTTTTTTTTTTTTTTTAAACAGGAAGTATATTTATGATCGGTAAGTGGCTTTGCTGAAGGAAAGCACTACAGCCAAACTGATACAGTAATAGTGCCTTGATTTTTCTGTTAAAGTTGTTTTATAAATAAAAATGACCCAGAGTGTCTGAAATGCTATTGTGGGTTTGCTTTCAGTGATCTGCAGATATTACTTTGTGTGCCAAAATATGGCACTCTAAGTTACACAGCCTGCTTTGCAACAAACTTGCTGCCTAATGTCTTCAATTCCAAACATTTTACTCTCAACTTTAAAGTGACAGCCCTAGTAATTAGAAGGGGATTTTTTTAAGCAAGCAGGCTTTAGCTGGAACATGCACTTTTAGTTTGTCTAAGTTTCATTCTCCCAGTTTCAACTGTGGGTATGGCAGTGTAAAGACAGCAGCTTTGAGTTAATAATTATTAATTTTCATCTTACTATCTGCGGCCTTGAACAGTTTTAATATTAAAACTAATTTGCTTCATGGTCCGTGGTAGTTAAACTATGGATAGGTGAATCAACATGCTAAATTCTTTCAGTGAAGTTGTGAGAGAGTTGTAGGAGCTAGTTTCTTTAGCACCAAAATAGGCAATTGGGATTCTAGGAGAAGCAGAAACTGGATGTTGCTACTCAGTGACTAGCATGCCCTGTTTCTCATCCCATTGGGATTAGTGACAATATTACTTTATCATTCAGGCTGTACAGGATTATTGGTTTGATTTAGTTCATGTCTAAGAAAATGAGCTACAAGTTTTAAATCAGTACTTAGTGTACACTAGTTCTCCAGAGGAGCTAATTGAAGAGCAGTAGAATACTGAAGATTCTCCCCATATAAATATAGCTGCTAGAAACAGTGGGCTACAGGTGCAGAAGCTAATACTTCTCAAAAGAATTCTCACTAAATACCAGGAAATTCAATTAAAGAATCAATCCTACTTTTTCATCTTAGCTAAGTGCTTGCACAACAGTACTTTAAATGGAAATATTTTGCAGTTTCATTGACATGAAAGTGAAACTTTCTATAGAAAGTTTGTCAACTTTTCAAAGAAACTTGAGGAGTACCAACAGGAAGACTATCATGATAGGAAAGGGGGGGGAGGGGAGAGGGAGAGAACCACAAGTAGGTGTAAGTACTCTATATTTTGGATAAATGGTATGTTATGAAGCTATATGCTTTGAGCTTACCCTACTGTGATATTGCATTGCCTTATGTAAGTGCTAGGTTCCTACCACAGGTTGAATTGTAAAAGTGTAATGGGTCTTTACTGGATACCAAAATGAGATGTTACTCATTGCAAAATACTCAATGATTGTGTATGCTCACTAGCTTTTCAAGTTTGAGTCTTGTTTTCTTAGGATCAGACGCCAGTCACATCAGTCAATTCAATGTGATTTCTCTCCCTGTATTTTGGGCAGCAGTATAATAAGCAATTTTGATAGTTTTCAGGCAGCATTTTAATTTAAAAACAAGATACCTTTCACAAAAGTGCACCCATACACCAAGCTTGTATAAACCTATCCACTTCAGTTCATGGGCCTTGCACAATTGAAGGGTATGTGGCATGAGATTTAATGTCTGAGTTCCCAAACTATCTAAATAAAACTTTACTATTGCAATAATGAAGCATGTAAACAGTAATGCGATACTTGGAGCTTATATTGTACTTTTCCTATGCTTTCAGTGATTATTAAAATTTAGGGAAGCATAGTTCCTTTCAAAGAGAAAGTTATTACATTTAACTACTTTATACTCATTGGTTCTTTGGTTTTATCTGGATATTGCAATGTCATCTCAGTACTATGTTTAAACACCAGGAAAAAAAACAAAAAAATTAAGCACTTTATATTAGGTTTCCAAAAGTGAATTTTATGAATGGCAATTCACAAGGATCAGGTTGTACTTGTTTGACTTGAACTCAATACAGTCTAAGTATTAGAAAGTGAAATTCCACATTAAATTACAACTGCTCGTCTATTTAACAGCTCCATGAGAAAGATGACATCCTTGCTTGGAATGCAGACTTCAACCATATCATTTTTGTGATTCTTCAAAGTTGGGCTCTAGGAGGAAAAAAATTAGTTGTGTGTTACAATACTCAAGTTCCAAATCGTGCTCAAAGATCAACTTCAGGCACTAGCAAAACACAAAGGACCCATTTTCAATAATCTGCAGCTAGTTTTACTGCTGCCACAAAGTTTGTATGTGCCGACCAGATTGCATATTTACCATCCCCAAGAACAACCGAGTATGCGCTCTTCCAGGACAACAGAGTTGATTGTAAGCAGCGATGTGGAAATAAAGGATAAATGGTGAGACAGAGAGCCTCACTTTCAAACAAATGATACAAGAATAAATCAACATCCAAACTGGAGCCTTACCCTCAAATTTGAAGTCTGGAAATTTTGTCAGGTCTCCCCCACCATACAACCGCTGAATTTTGGAAATTTCTTCAGTCATGTCTTTCTGGTATTCAGGGCCTACATCAGCTGGACCACCACTTTTCCTAAATGCAGAAAATTTCCAATGACAATTTTGATATGCAACATTTTATACTGATTTACCATTTAAGAGCATAATCTAAAGTAAACGAAATGGCTATAAACCCTCCAATAAAGTAATTAAAATATTGAAAACAGAAGTAAAGAGCATATGCTAGGAGGGAATTTTTCCCTGCAGCATTTTAATCCAGACATTTTAGTTTAACTAATGCTAGAGGAGGATTTAATAAAAATAAACATATTGCAACAATATTACAACCGTTCCTTAAATGGTGTAAGTTCTACAACTTATCCATTAATTTTATCCTGGCCTTAATTACTGCTTTAGCGCAGATGCTGTGCTCACTGCTATAAAGAGCATGAGGAAATGGCTGCTGCACTGTTTACAATCTAAACCCACAAAAGAGTTCCCAGATGGAATTAGAAAAAGAATTATACAACTGTAAAAAGCTCTTCAATATAGTAAGAATAATCCCCACTAATAGTAAAAATAGCTACCCCACCAGTTTTAATTTTGTAGAGAGAGTCAAAATACAATTGCCTAAATACAATCTTTCTCTGGGGCCAGCTGCAGTTTTAAGATAACTGTAGTTAAACCAGGTGTGGACAGGGTCTCAATGCCGCAACAACAATACACTATTTTCTCATTTCAGTCTCCAAATCCACACCTGCAGAATCCCTTAAGGCAGTGGTCTCCAACCTTTTTACACCAAAGATCACTTTTTAAATCTCAGAACAGCCGAAGATCTACCGCCCTCCCCCTTCCTTGAAGCCCCGCCCTCTCTATTCCGCCTGTCCATCACTTGCTATCCCCAGCCCTTACTTACACACGCCAATAAACAGTTGATTTTTAAATTATGCAATATAAAATTAAAATGTGTTTATAGTTATGAAAAATGGTCTTTTTTATTCGTGCTATTTACATCTAAAATGAAGCATTTATAATTATACATTTTGTGGGGACTGAGTTCTGTGGCTGGGGGCAGGGGAGAGGGAACAGGGTGCTGGGAGGGCAGAGGACAGGGTTCTGCAGCAGGGGACAG